ACTATGACTAACAAAAAGATTTCTTCAAAACACACTAAACTTCAGTTCTGTTTATTTTTAATGCATATCATTAAATACACAGTCTAAATTAGTAATCTGTCATTGTGAAGAAATATACATTGTCAAGTGCAAACAAACTGTCACTGACTGCTTACTTTGTTCTTTTTTGACTCTGCCTCGCACGCAATTTCTTTTTGCCAAAAATAAAGACATCCTAAATATTTGATAGAAGTTGTTTGGCTTCTTGTCACTCAATGTCAGTCTTGTCTTAATCTTGATTCATTTATTATGTATTCTTGCATGTCTTAGAGGGAACAATCGTCTCGTTCAAGTTGGCATATTTGCCAGTATTTTGGAGAATATCATCTGAAACAATGCAGTTATGCATTTGGTTGTCTGGTTCTTGGAGTTTATTATTTTAGCCTCTAAGTGACGCTGTTGCCTGGTAAATCAATTGTACAGCGCAGTTTGAGGCAGGGCTGTTCCCTCCTCCATCACTGCGTTTCACAACAGCAGATGAGCTGTGTTTCAGACGAGCCAATGCTCATCGAATACACAACCGATTCATGCTTTTATCTTCGTTAACCTAGAATGTATGCGCTTTCCTTAGTGAGCTGAAATTTTCTTTACGTCTCTCGGTGCGCTTTAAAGTAGTGTTTTTTCACATGGATTTTAAAGAACAGCATCGAGGAAGAGGTGAAAGATGGCGAATGCGACGGGCGTTCAACCTGCTCGTTTTTCAGCTTCTTTTTCTCTATCAGTCGGAGGCACAGATCCGATATTCGATCCCAGAGGAGTTGAAGACTGGGTCTCTTGTTGGTAACGTCGCACAGGACCTCGGTTTGGATCTGAAAAGGCTTCGTTCTGGTCGGGCCCGTATCGTGACCGGGGAAAACATCCAGTACACCGAGCTGAAGGCAGACAAAGGGACTTTAGTTGTGAATGAGAGAATAGACCGAGAGCAGCTCTGTGGAGATGTGACACCGTGTAGCTTCACCTTTGAGATTTTATTAGAAAAACCAATGGAGTTGCACCCTGTGACAATTGAAGTGCTGGACGTAAACGACAACGCTCCCACTTTTCAGAACACACACTTGGAATTTGAAATAAGCGAGTCAGCTGCGCTTGGATCCCGTTTTGTGTTGGAGAGTGCGGACGATGCTGATGTTGGGCCAAACGGCCTGCAGAACTACATTTTAACGCCGAACGACAATTTTGTTTTAAAGCAACACGTTAATCCGGATGGAAGTAAATACGCTGAAATGGTACTTCAGAAGCCTTTAGATCGAGAACAACAGCCACGCCTGTCGCTAAAGCTGCTGGCTGTGGATGGTGGAAATCCACAGAAATCTGGTACAGTAAATATAAATGTCAGGATTCTCGATGCCAATGACAATGCTCCCGTTTTTAATCAGTCTGTCTATAAGGCCACAGTGATTGAAAATGCGCCAAAAGCCACTTACGTAGTCACCGTAAACGCAAGTGACATAGATAGCGGTTTAAACGGACAAGTAACGTATTCCTTCTCAAAATCCAAAGCAGGAATAGCTGATTTGTTCAATATTGATGAGACAACTGGAAGAATATATGTGACCAAGGAAATAGATTTTGAAAAAGACAAAAAAATTGAATTCAGGGTCGAAGCTAAAGATCAAGGAGGACTGACAGACTCGAGCAAAGTTGAAATTGAGGTTATCGATGTAAATGATAATGCTCCTGTTATTAATGTCATGTCATTCACTAGTCCTGTGTCAGAAGACTCCCCTGCTGGAACCACCATTGGTATAATTAATGTTAAAGATCTTGATTCGGGTGAAAACGGACAAGTACGGTGCGCTATCGAAGGCGGTGTTCCTTTCAAAATTAAATCCAATGTGAGGAACTATTATGCATTGATTACTGATGCTGCATTAGACCGTGAAAGTCTGCCAGAGTGTAACATCACCGTTGTTGCCTCAGACGCAGGATCGCCTCCCCTCTCAACCAAAAGGACTTTTAATCTGAAGGTCTCAGATGTCAATGACAATGCCCCCGTATTCCCACGTAAATTTTACAGCGCTTTGGCTGCGGAGAATAACTCCCCAGGTATTTCTGTATTAAGTGTGAATGCTAAAGACCCCGATGAAAATCAGAACGCTCGCGTTTCTTACATTTTACAAGAATGTGAAATTGGCGGCTCTCCAGTATCTGAATATGTTTCCGTTAATGCAGAAACAGGCGTCGTTAGTGCAGTGCGTTCATTTGACTACGAGCAGATCAAAGAACTAGTGTTTACTGTTAAAGCGCAGGATGGAGGCTCTCCTCCACTCAGCAGCAACGTGACAGTGAAGATCATGATCCAGGACCAGAACGACAATCCTCCTCAGGTTCTGTATCCAGTCCAGACTGGTGGCTCTGTGGTGGCTGAAATGGTGCCTCGTTCAGCAGATGTGGGCTATCTGGTGACCAAAGTGGTGGCTGTTGATGTGGACTCTGGACAGAATGCGTGGCTGTCATATAAACTGCAGAAATCCACAGACAGGGCTCTGTTTGAAGTGGGCTCCCAGAATGGAGAGATCCGAACCATCCGCCAAGTGAATGATAAAGATGCAGTGAAACAGAGACTG